GCTGTGGCGGCCGCGGGCGGCGAGGGCGCGGTCGTCGCCGGCGCCGCCGCGGCGCCGCCGGAGGGCCTCCGCCGCGGCCTGCGGCCCGGCGAGGGCGCGGTGCGGGAGGTGGCTGCCTACATCCTCGACCACGGCCGCTTCGCCGGTGTCCCTGCGACGGCGATGGTGCAGCTCGAGGCCGGCGGCGGCGGCGGCGGCGCGGCGAAGTCCAAGGTTGGCAGCCTGCAGCAGTACGTCCACGCTGACTCAGACTGCGAGGAGCGCGGCGTCAGCGACTTCCCGCCGTGCGAGGTTCACAAGATCGCGGTGCTCGATCTGCGCCTCGGGAACACCGACAGGAACGGCGCCAACATCCTCGCGCGCCGCGGGGCCGGCGGGGCGTGGGAGCTCGTGCCGATCGACCACGGCGGCTGCCTGCCGGACTGTTTTGAGGATTTGAGCTTCGAGTGGCAGTGGTGGCCGCAGGCCGACGTGCCGTTTGACGCCGCGACGCTCGAGTACATCGCGTCGCTCGACGCCGCCCGCGACGCCGCCGTGCTCGCCGCGCACGGGCTCGCCGTGCGGCCCGAGTGCGTGCGCGTGCTGCGCGTGTGCACGATGCTGCTGCAGAAGGCGGCCGCGGCCGGGCTGACGGCGGCGCAGATCGCGGGCGTCGCGTCGCGGCAGGCCGCGGCGCGGTCGCCGCTCGAGCGGATGCACGCGGCGGCCGCCGCGGAGGCGGAGCGCGCGGCGGCGGCGGCGGCGGCGGCGGCGGCGGCGGCGGCGGCGGCTGACGGTGGCACTGCGGACGCTACCGCCGGCGGCGGCGCGGCCGGATCCGACGAGCGTGTCTATCTGGCGTGCATGGGCCGCCTCATCGACGAGCTGCTGGCCCTGGAGGACTTTGTGCTGGACAACGGCGGCCAGCTGCTGCTCTGATCTGGAAGGAACGGGACGACGCGATCTGACCTGTATGATTTGACCCGTCCTGATCTGCTGGGCGGCCCCTCGCCGCGCATGGCGCGGCCGCAGCTCCGCTGGGGCACGTATCAGCGCATGCGGCGGGCGGGCGAGCCCGCCGAGGCCTCGCCTGCTGGCAGGTGCGGGCCAGCACGAAGCGGCCCGTGCCCCTGCGAACACGCTCAGAAGAATAAAGACGACAAGCTCAGAGAGGGTGACCACACGGCACTCGCGCCGCGCTCTTGGGCTGGGCGGCCGCCGCGGCGCGCCAAACGCACCTGCACGGCGCGGCGGGCGGTGGCGTGGCTGACTCCCTTTGCCACGTGCTTTCTCCTCGGGCCCGGGGTCAGGCATTTGAGCGCGCGGCTGCCCGCTTGCTTGCCTGTGCGGCCGCCCCCCTTTGCCCTGCGCGTTTGCACACTTCACCTACACCACACATCACGAGCCGTAGAGCGTCGATAAGAGAGCATCGGTATAGGGTAGCCCACCTCTCCGCGAGCCCCTCCGGTCTCGGCGCCCGCCTCGCGGCGTGCGTGCGTCGAGCGCGGCGCCGCCCGCGCCCTGGGCTTGCGCGGCCTGCTGTGGGGCCGCCGTCTCTCTGCGGCGGCGCGCTGGCGGGCGAAGGCCGCCTGCGCCTGGCCGCGCGGCGCTGAGGTGTGCTCGCCTTCTAGTGGCGCGCGCTCGCGCCCGGCACTGCGCGCATGATCAGCGAACACCATGGGATGCCGGCCTGCGGCGCTTCCGCCCTCTCCGCCTCGACCCTGATTTCGTGCACCACCGTTTGGCCCAACGAGCTCTGCTTACGGCCGCAGGTCCGCGGCATAGTCGCCCCGCGCCTGCCGCGCCTGCCGCTCCTGCCGCGCCTGCCGCGCCTGCCGCGCCTGCCGCGCCTGCCGCGCCCGCCGCAGCCGTGGCTGCGCGCGCGTGGAGACAGCCGCGCCCTGCCGCTCCTCGGCGGGCAGGCAAGCATGGGCTTGGTCTCATACCCCTCTCAACGACGCCTCGAAATCACATACCAAGGCCCGCCCCTCCCACGCGCGAACAGACTGCAAAACGCGCAGGCGCTCTGGGCTGCTGCCCGTGAGCCGCGGCAGTTCGCAGTCAATCTTGTGTGGGCTTAACGGAAGTCAGTCAAACCCCAGCTTACCGTCGTCTTGGAATGAGTTGCGTGGCACCTGTCGAGTCATCTGTTTTGCTGCACCCCAATCCCACCGTTCCCACGTGTCGTTAGCGTCCCCCTATGCACTCACACGCACGCGTGCGCGGCGCGAAACCCGCCACGCTCACTGTACATATTCCAGCTTCCTAGGCCGCGAAAGCCGCTCGCCCCTGCGCCGGGGCCGGGGCCGGCGTAGGGCTCGCCACCCGGCCGGCGGCAGGGGGAAAGGGGATGTTTCGTCCCCCAGTGCCAGTTCTGCAACTCTGGCCGCAACCCTGTGAAGCTGCGGGCGCAAACGAGGTTGGCAGGCCAGCAGGGCTGAGGCTTCCAGCTCGCTAACCCTCTCCGCCGAACTTCCGGGTTTGGAACCCAGGGCCCTGGCTGGCACCCATCCCGCCCCGGCCCCTCGCGCCGCTGCCGTGCGGCAGCGAGCCCCCTGCAGCGCCCCTTGCGCGCGGGGTTGGTGACTGTCGCGCTCAGCGGAGGAGGGCGGCTCCGCGCAAACTGTCGTCGCAACTGCACATTCTCCAGAAAAGGAAGGGCCGTGGTCCCTCAAACCCTCTCTTGGCGATGTATCATAAACAAACGCACCTAGCGCAGAGGCAAGGCCGCATGTGCATGCATGCGAGGCGACGGCCCACTTCCTTCAGGCCGGTGGGCTGCTTGTGACATCACCACCCCGCGGGGACCGCGGCGCCCACATCACCGCGCAGGCCGTCTATGCGCACCCCTTGACGACGCATGGCCCCGCGGCCCACAGACCGTTGGCCGCGGGGCGCGCGCACGCCGCCGCGGCCGTCCCGAGCACCCCTGCCGGGACCCGCGTCCGGCTCGCGCGTTGGCGCTGGCGGCCCGACGAAACGAATTTCTTGGGTCTTTGGCGGCTGCATCAGGACTGTATCATGTTCACATTTTGGATCTCGACCGCACCACCATCATCACAACAAGAAGAACGTCGTTTGCTAAGGTTTTTTGGGCAGGTTCGTGGCCGAAAGCGACACGCTCGCCGTTGCTGCTGTCGTTTGTATCAACGCTCGTACCCTAGCACCCCGCTGCGCGCGCGCTGGCATGGCTTGGGCCTGCTTGCAGCTCTGCCAGCTGCCACCGGCTGGCGTGGGGACCAACCATTGCGGCTGGGCCACCCACCTCGCATCGCCTCGTGGCCGCCCGGCAGCCGCCCGCGCGGCCGCCGTTGGCATGCGCTCCGCAAGGCGTGGGGCGCGCACGCCGCGCGTGGCCCTGCGTGCCCGCTCACGCGCCTGTTTGCTCGTCCCGTGTTTGCTGTGTCGCAATCACCTCAAGCTCAAGCGCGGCTGGCGCACGGGCGTCGCGCCGTGGCTCGGCTTTGCACCAGCCTTGCAACCTCCCGTCCCTCCTCCCACCGGCGCCGCCGGTGGCTTTTTTGGCCGCCTCCCTGTTTCCCGAACTGTTTGAGTGTGCGGTTATGATCTCGTCCCCTCCTGCAAAAACGCATGGTGTAACCTGTGTTTAACTGCTTTCCCTGCTTTGGTTTCGGACTCTACAAAACCTGCCAGCGCCTGCAGCAGCCAAGCCGGTCGGCCACCTGCCGTCCCTCACACGATGGGCCCAAGGCTTGACGAGGGGTTACTTCACACGTGCGCTCCGTCGGCCGCCCCTGATGCTTCCCCTGCCACTGCCGCCTCTGCCGCTGCACTGAAGAGGGCCTCCAGCGCGATCGCGGCCGCGTGCGACAGCGACAGCGACTCCTAGTAGGAGGGAGGGCATCAGCACGCGCACGCGCACGCGTGCGTGAGTGCGTGCGTGTGTGTGTGTGTGTGTGTGTGTGTGTGTGTGTGTGTGTGTGTGCGCGCGTGCGTGCGTGTGTGTGTGTGTGTGTGTGTGTGTGTGTGTGTGCGCGCGTGCGTGTGTGTGTGCGGCCGGCGGCGGCCGGCGGGGCCTGCACGCCGCCACGGCTGGCGCGATGTGGCACAGGTACGAGCCCGGCGGCAAGCATACTGTGGCCTATGCACCTGCACATTGGCGCAGGCCGCGGCGATCGCCACATCTTTGTCCTGGATCACCACTGCGCGTAGACCGTTGTCGAGCCTGCGCATGGAGTGTGGAGATGAACGCCATGGGGGACTGCCAACTGCTACAGCGCGAGCGAGCGCAATTGGATGGCCTGGCGCTAGCTGCATGCTAAGGAGGAAGTAAATGCACGAGACCATGCAGCAACCGCCCCCAGTACTGTAGTCGCGGCTGAACAGCGCACGTGAACGCCTTGTACACACGCGTATCAGCGCGCGGCGTGATGACCGGCGTCATAGCTGGCCTACTCCAGGTCCCGCTATTGTCCAGCGCTGCGCCAGGACGAAGTCCGCGGATCATACAGAATAAACAGCGCGCATCAAGCATCCATTGTCAAGAATTGTAGATGACACTGTGGTGCATTCATGTACGCACTTGATCGACAAATTGAATTTGAAGCACACTGTGTGTGATCTTGGGTCTCAGCTGGGCACCCGCCGGTCCCTCATGCCTGTCTGAAAGATCTCACTAGCTTGCTGGATGATGTTAATTACTGCACTGCCAGGCCATGGAAGCAAATTTGTCCGCCGCCTCGCCGGTCAGCGTCCCGGCGGTCAGCCGCGGCGACGGCACCGATGCGGCGACGGCAGCGCCGAGGGGCAGCGGCATCCTGAGCCTGCTAACGCTCGGCGTAGGTGCAGGGAAAACGTCGACCTACGACGCCGAGTGCAGCTCCGCCTTCCTCTTGCAAGTGGATGGAGCGCCGGCGCTGCTGCTTGATTTGGTGAGGGCCCAATCCACCATCAGGCAAACATGGCAGTGGCCAGGGAGCTGTCGGCAGCTCCCAGGCCTGTAATTGCACATCGAAATATCGAGTCTCTTTCCCATTAGCCTATCTGCGCAGCACAGCGCTGCCTTTGAACGCCCCTGCATGCCAATGTCGCTCGAACGCCCACTGCAGGGGCTCGGCGTCACAGCAGCGGTGCTGCGCCATCACCGCCACCTACCGCGCCGCGTTTACGTCTCCCACAACCACACCGACCATGCAGGTGAGTGCTTTCCAAGGCTGGATAATGCGCAGATGCGACCAGATCAGGGGTGCATACCGGGGGGGAGTGCATTGTTAGGAGCTGGCCGCCACCACCATCATCACCCCCACCCCAAATCCCACGACCACCAACCACAACATCACCAAACGTTGTGCATCACCGACAAACAAACCGCACACCTTGGTACCTGGTGCTCCCGCGCGCCGCCCCGCCCCCTGTTTTCACCGCTGCTACCGCTCGCAACAGGCGAGCTGCCAGTGGTGCTGGCCGTTGAGGCGGCGCGTCGAAGTGAGAGCAGCGGCAGCGGTGCGCAGAGCGAGGGCGACCCGGCCCCGAGCGAACGCGGCCCGATGACAGTCCTGGCGGAGGGCCGCGTCATGCAGCGGCTGAAAGAACACCGCCTGGCTGAGCTGTCGTCCACGGGGCTGCCCCTCCAGCATTTTGGGCACTTCGTGGACCTGGAAGAGGGACGGTCAGCGGATCTGGGCGCCTGGGGGCTGGCGGTGGCGCCGCTGCGGGCGCGGCACTCGGAGCTGGCGTTTGGGCTGCTGATCACACGCCATGGCGTGCCCGTGCTCGGCTGGACGGTGGGCGTTGGGCTGGGGTGTCTGGGAACCTCGGAGGGGAGGATGGTGCCGTGTGATTGACGTGCACCGCGGCTGCGATGGCGGGTTCTGCAGAGTGCAGACACGTTAATCGAGTCAATCCTTGCTGTTAAGTTCAACCAGAAACGGTGTGGTGGCCAGCAATATAGCATTGGATTCCTTCTCTGCGCCCAATAG